GCTGCTGCTGCTGCTGCCCAAACCTACTACTACTACTATTACACATAATATCTTGACATTTTCCAGGACTGTTCTCGGTATCTTCGCCTGCACCATCATCTTCTGTACCGCCCTGGACATTTTCCTGAGGTTTGGGAGGACCAGGGTGCCTGAGAGCAGTGGTGGTAGTAGTGTGGGTGAGGAGCCTGCCCTTGGAGCGCGAGGGGGACCGAGTGTGAATTATACGCGTAAGTTTGGTGTGTGTGTGTGTGTGTGTGTGTGTGTGTGTGTGTGTGTGTGTGTGTGTGTGTGTGTGTGTGTGTGTGTCTTTGTATGCTTAGGGTTCAATAAAGGAAAGAAAGGAAAAGGGAAGGAATGGGTGAGTGAACATGAATTAGTAGAAGAAGGAGTGGGGGGAGGGAAAGGTATAAAATGTGATTATGATAAGTGTGAAATGTAGAGTAATAAAAGGAATGAAAAATGGAGGGATGAATAGGGAATGCAAAAAGAGTGTGAAAATTAAGTCATGAAGGAAGGAAGGAAGGAAGGAAGGAAGGAAGAAAGGAAGGAAGGAAGAAAGGAAGGAAGGAAATTAAGAAAGGAAGGAAGGAAGAAAGGGAAGTAAGACGGACGGAAAGAATGATGAATACAAAACAAGTCGAAATATTGAGAAGGAATGAAACCAAAAGAATGAAACGATCGATTGCCCAGGTAGGAAAACACTGAGGGTTTTTTTTAACTGTTATTGCTGTTATGGTCTTAAGTAGATAGTCCTACACCTGCTTGCAAAAGGTGGTAAGTTCGATTCCTTGTTATGTTGGATTTTGTATCCTTATGAGAGCTGAATAAATAGAAACTTCACAAATCCTTGCTACAATCGAAGAGATAGCTCGTATGAAAAGGTGGAGTTGTTCGTTTTGTTTAAGTAAGAGTTTTGCGGTACTTGCAACACAATAAGGTCATCATATAAGTGCTGGAGATTAGAGGTGTTACAAGAGAGTAACAAACACAAAAAAGGAAAAGGAGAGAGATAAGGGCGACAGATGTTTGATAGGAAAGAATGAGTAAACCATACCAGAGCACCTGCCAACCACCCACTTGTACAGTTCCGATTGCTATTTCATCCTTTTTTTTCCCCAGTAACGATCTCAGAGGACCCTCCAGAGAAAGAATCTCATGCAGTTTCAGAGAAAGGTGAAGGTCGTACTCCAAACGCAAACGGCCATCTTGAAATGAAAAAAATTCATCTACACAGTAACGGGTACAAAAAGGTAGTGTTTTTAGACTCATCGTAAAAAAGACGACTCTAATCTGTCCCCGTGGTTTTATGCACCCCGCATAATTTAGCAAAATTTGATCATTTTTTGCATAATTTCTGACTATTTTCCTTTATCATTCTTTGTTAAAATTAACAGAATCGCATAATTTCACATTTTTGGGTTCAGTTTGCATAATTTCAGAATTTTTCTTGCATAAAACGACGGGGACAGTCTAATTCAGCTGGTAAAATTACTTGAACGCAATAAAGGTTTTGTTTCCTTTTTTTTTATAAATGTAAATGTTTTTATGCCCCCATCGACACAATTTAGATCATTCAGAAGGCGAGCTTCGATCGTGCGTATGTCAGGGTCAACTCGAATCAGGATGAGAGAGTTACAACGTTGCATCAGAGAGACTGGGGGATTAGAATAATTTAGATCATTCAGAAGGCAGGCTTCGACCCTGCGTATGTCAGGGTCAACTCGAATCAGGATGAGAGAGATACAACGTTGCAGCAGAGAGACTGGGAGACTAGAATATATATACTTTTCTCCCGATTCAAGAATCGAACTCGGGTCTCCTGTGTGCGAATGCAAACTGCTTAAGCACAGCTGCCGGCCTCAGCATTGCGGAGTAGGCCTATAAGGTTCAAGTCCCTAACAATAGACTATTTTTTTTACTGAAGTTGTTTAAGGTGGGGATTTTTATTCGTTTTAGTAAGTGTTTTTTTTGTGTGTGTGTTTTTTTTTTTGCTCTTGCAATACAATAAAGCTATGAAAGTAAGTGCCGAAGATTTGAGGTGTTACAAGAGAGTGACAACCACACCAAAAGGAGAGGAGATAAGGACGATAGATGTTTGATGATATGACAAAAAGATTAGCGGACAACCACTGCATAGCACCCGCCAACCACCCATCTAGTTTACCATTCCCTACCCCCTTTGTTCGGTCTAGAGGGAGGTTAGCTGTGACACATTGCCCCTTACAGTGTTCAAAGGTGCACTATCCCAGTGCCTTACTTGCAGAGAGTCATAAAAAGATATTATGATTGTACTATTTCTTCTTTTCTCTTTACCCATGTAGATTAGGTTGAGAGTATAATGTAATATATCACTTATGTACTACACCTCATCTGAGATTATCATCATCATCATCTTCATCAAGAATTCTTCTTTCGGTCACTCT